AGTTGCTTTTTTTTCCCTCGGTATTTCTAGTTTCTATTTATTGTGACCAAACACACATTCTTGCTAACATCAAAATCCAAGGTAGGACCCAGGGAGAGAGAATAGAAGATGGCCTCTGAAGTGAGATTTAACATGAACCACACAGTTTAAACAAATAAAAGGAGCTAGGCATGCAGAGTGAGATAAAATAGGATTTCAGATTGAGGAAATGTGCTGTGCTATTCATTCAAAGACACAGAGCAAGGAAGAAATCTGGCCTTTCAAAGGAATCATTGAAGACTACTGTGGCTGCTGGAGAGAACTGAGAGGGGAATGCACAGCGCAAAGTGAACTTGTGGGCGCTGACTCTGGCCAGTGCATAGAGGACCGTAGAGGTCAGTCTTCACAGATACACTCAGAGATTCTGCTGCTTTCAAAACTGATCACAGCACTATTCCTCCTGAGTTTCTTCTTTCTGTTACTGATGCATTAATGTGAAGTTTACTTGAGAATCTGTATAATCCAATCCAGCAACAGCTCCTTTTCACATGTCTCGCTTGTACTTTTTCCTCAACTGAAGAGCCTCCTTCTCTGTGTGTGATTCTCAATCCAGCCTCTAAGACTCATTTTAAGTTCTACAGAGAGTCAACATGTTGCTCTGTTGGGTCACAGTCATCTCTGTTGTAATACTGGGATGCTCATATATCTCTCCCACCATCCTGAGACCACTTGAAAATATTAAAGGTTTGATCTTAAGTGCTAACACTCAATACCTGAAGGCAGGCAGGCAGGGAGTTGGTTAGTTTTGCCCAAAGGAATAGAACACATGTAGTTCTGATTCTAAGAAGTGTAAGGTTTATTTATTTTAAAATCAAATTAAATTCAATGGATACTTGAAAACTTTAAATATTATACATTAGGCCCATTATTATACATTAGGCGAGAGTTGTAAGCAATACTTAATTATCACAGAACTTCCTCGGAAAGGTATGCAACATGATATAAAGGTATTCTTTGTTATGTGGCTCTGTGATTTGTGACCTTGAGGTATAAAGTGCCAAAAATTTTGCCTCCTGAGTGTACACCGTAGCCAGCCCTAACAAACCACAGAGAAACACTGACCTCGCAAACAAGCTTAGTCATTTCTTAAACATTATTCTTTAAGAATTGGGCCTCTAAAAATCTATCTGTAAGAGGCAACTGTGTATTCAAATAGTTAAGATTGCTCTCCAGTTGACAATGCTATATTTTCAGCAAGACAAAATTCAAAGAGCACTGTCATTCAGAAAACTGAACTGCTTGAAGTTCCCCATCACGCCTGTAAGTAGTCTTATTCCATTCCTACAATGTAAGTAACGTATTTCAAGAATCAGGTATCCTGTTTTTAAGCCCACTTATACCTGTTTCTTTGTATTCATGCTTTTATCTATCTCTTCTTATGTAATCTTTGTTAAATCATTCAAAACACACTTATTGTATGTTTGCTATATATGTTCTATGATAAAGTCATACGTATTAATTCTGCTGGGGAAAAGTATACATAAATATATAATACAAAAAAGATATAAATAGAGATAATAAAAAGTAGAAAGATGATTAATATATACGATAAATATTTTAGTCTTAACAAAGAAATACATCAGTGCATTCTAAATGAAAACATTATACACATCAGCTTCTTGCACTACGGAAGTGCAAGTTAATTCCTCAGATCTTGTCAAACATGAATATATGATCAGAAAGCTGACGGACAGCCACTGAGCTACGGTCACCTCACTGGTGCTGAGTCTGTGAGATCTGCCTGGCTGTCAGCTGGCTTCTCTCAGTCTCATCTCACTGCAGCCCCCCTCATGTTAAAATAAATGTGTTGGGACAATAAGAGCACTTCCAACAGGACAGCAACACAGGCCAAGTGCTTTCCATTCATGACCAGATCCGGACTCAGAATGAAACATAATTGACATAGCTCAATGCTAACCTCTGGGCTATAGTGCCATATTTGTCTGGAGCATATCACTAAAGAAAGAAATGGAATGGATGGTACTTTTTATGACTTAGGAGTCAACTTGGTGGTGGGTGACAACAGTGCTGGAGGCAGAAGAACTATAGTCATGACCATGAGACTTAGAAACTGTGACGCTGCAGTTGGCACTGCCAATGCTGCAAAGAATTCACATTTGCTTCCTGAAAACATGATCTTTCCTAGAATAGAATACTGCGAAGATCCGCTTGGGGGAAGTGATTTCTTATTCAACTCAGAGTGATTATTCAATCCAAAGAGCCTGAAATGCCAAGGGAAGAAAGTCTGTGGTCTGGAATTGGTAACTACAATATCACATGGCTAGGATAACCCGTCTTCATGTGGCACTATGTCACAGCGCAGTAGGATATGTCTACTGGATGCATCTAAGACGAAAATCTTGAATAAAATCTAAGGTGATATGGACCTGGGGAAACTGGTATGTGTGGTGTTACACATCACGGCAATAAAACCAAGCATCCTGGTATTCCACCAGGCTCAGGAGGTGCATTGTCATTTAGGACGAGGCGCTTTCACCGTACATGAAGAATCCCTTTCTCATTTCAGTGAATGCCTCGAAAAAAATAGTTTCCGACCAAAAAACTATCAACTCTCCCAGAGAGATCTGTTCTTTTTTCCACTTTTTTCTTTGTCCTAGTATCATAATTCTCTTGACTTGGATTCTTCTTGTCAAGGAACTTCCAGAACATCAATCTTGAGATTCTTTTAAAGTCATCAGAGAAACTATTCTAACTACCTTTTGCAACTACCCTAACTCAAACTAGTATGACATTTTCCAAGGCTTAATATTCACATTTACATACTCAGTTCTACTATTAAGATTAATAGTAAAAAGAGATGACTTATCTCAATACCCCCATGCGTGTTATTTATTCTAGGCTACTTTTAGTTTCTGTGGAATTTAAAAATTTAAGCCTATGACAACACTACTTTGGAAAGGAAAACAGTTTGCAAAAGCATCAGACTCTTTCTCTGGTCAAGATCTGCGGTTATGCTAAGAAGCAGAGCAGAACTGAGGAACATGAATGCAACTGAAGGTCTGCTGGTTTCCGTGTGTTTCCACTGTTGCATGATACTAGGTTCTGCTGAAAACATCTCAGAAAATGTATGTAACATGCTAATATATTTACACTTAATTGATTACTGAGAAAAAGGAATACTGTCTTTGTTTTTTTTGTTTTTTTTTTTTTTTTTGGCTTTTTCCTTTTTATCGGTACCAGCAATCAAACTCACAACCTCCTGCTTGCAAGACAGGCGCTTATGCCGCTGAGTTAAATCCCCAGCCCCCCAGAATGCAAGACAAATTTTATAAACGTATGACGGCTTTTGTTTCACTTTTCAAGAAACTAAGAAACTACAATACAATTTTTTTCTTTAAATGCCTTTCATTTAAAATTGAGGCAAAGATAACCAAGTAGAAATAATGCTATTCAAAAAAGAAAAAATTAAGAAACAATGATATACTTGCAGACCGGAAGCCGAGAGAACAAAGGACACATCACCAAGCCAGTGAACCTAGTCTGAGCAGCACCACATGTGGGCTGCCACCAGACTGGACAGACCCCTGCCCCTTCTGGCGTGCGGGCTGGCAAATAGGAAGTACTATCCCCCCACCCCCATAGGCGACTGGCTTATCCGGAGAAACACAGGCTGTGATGATAGCTACCTGGGAGAAATGCTTTGCTGCTCCACTACCATTGCAGGCCTAGGGCCAGTGGTCTGATCATAGGTTCAGATGATAGCGGTACCCAGTGTGACATCTAGGGGGATCTCCTGAGGGTTGCAGCCATTGTTGATTCCCTATGGTCTTGTTTTGAAGTCCTATATCACTTCCATTGTTTTATTGGGTTGGATTTTATACTCTTTTGTCTTGTTTGATTATGTTAAATCCAGTGGCAGGAGCATATTTATTTTGAAGATAACAAGATATATTATGGTATCAATTTTGGATTTGCTATAGGCTTGTTTTAAAGTCCTTTATTGCACTCTTTGTTTTGTTTTCATTGCTTCTATTCTATTCTGTTTGATTTTCAATATGTCCAAAGTTAGCTGCAGCTATTATGAAGACATCAAAAGGCATTATGGTAACTATTGTTGGTTTTGCAATGTTTTTAGACCTGTCCCTCTTATATTTTTTTTTTGATTGGTTTTATTCTGTTTTATCCTCTTTAAACATTAGATGCAAATATACCAAAATATTAACATGGTTCATTGTAACTAATGGAAACAGATACTATAATAATTTCTTATTCACTCTTTTCTGTAATTTTTTTAATTTCTAAAAGTAAAAAGGTAAGTAATTACAGATAGACTTGAAGCTGGAACTACGATTACCTGATAAGAAATGTTTCTCACACGTTCCTGATCTGTCTTAAGAGCAGGTAGATTTGTGTATCTATTTGTGTGCTACCACCTTATGCCTATAACATGAAAGCATGTTTGTATAAATATTTTGACCACTGGAACATGGGGGAAAAAAGGAAAATGATATAATAAAAATGGTTGCTAAGTTATTTCTCTATAGTTGTATTGCTGGTAATGAAGAAGACAATGAATTAGTACATCATTATTTCACATTTTTCTAATAAAATAATGAATTTAGGCAAAGATTATTAATGTTACAGTGAGTATATGGACAACTAGGGAAAGCAGAACTGTGTATGTGATGACACCGAGAAATTATTAATCTTTTTTAAAGACATGACAATGGTACAGTTATGTTTGAAAAAAGTACCTTTTGCTGGTAATATTAATATTTTAACAGATGAGTTGCAAACATGTCTGAGAGCTGCTTCATAATCATCTAGTCATAGGAGGAGAGGGTGCATCAAAGGGAACAAAAGTGAGGGGATGGGCTTGTAGCTGTGGATTAGGTGTATGGCATTCATCACAATGCTGTAATTTTCTGTATGTTTGAAATTTTCACAGCAAAATGTTTAAAAAATTTAGAAGTTACGAAAAAATGATGAAAAAGACTTACCCTGCTGAATATCCTTCATTTCTAAATGTAAACTAGATATCAAAATTCCCACAGCTTGAGATCGTTTTCCATCTAATAGCTTGATGATCTGGAATTTAGAAAAATACAAGCTCAAACTACCAAACAATTTTTCTAAAACATCGCAAAAGCATAAGAACTGTAGACACACTCTTAGATGATGCGACAGGTACTCTGGAGAGGAGCTTGTCCACCGTTACAGACATTTTATTAAACACAGCAAAGGAAAAACACACAGAATTCTACTAGCCTAAAGCATATATATACTAACAATACGCAGAATATTTTCCTGTGGTTTTTTGATTCCAATACAGTGTAACTAAGTTGTAAAAGCAACATAATATGCAATGTTACATGCAAGAATTTCACGTATCATTGGGATATTTTTGTATTTCCTTAGTCACTTCATTATCTCCAATCTTTATAAGCAATGCCACCTACTGAATGGTTTTTAAGAGAAAGAACTTTCTGACCTTCAGAAAGTCATTTATCAGTGAGATGGTACTGGTAAAGCCACAACTTTTAGGACTTCATCCTGAAATAGTGCTTACTGTACTTAATACATTTATTTTAGAAATGAACTGATATAATATATGCAAGCATCTAATAGTTCTTAATCTATAATTATTCTTAAACTTCACTGTCTCAAAGTTTCGATGCTTCCTACTTATGCTATTATTATTATAAATGATTATATTTTACAAACAAAACCCTCATTTTAAATAACCTAAAATTGTTCTTTTATATTGATATATATTAAAACTTTTACAATCTTTTTCCAAACTTCAAATACCTTCTTTTTCCTTTTATTTTTTACATTTTTTGTACAGAGAATCAAACTCACAACCAGACAAGCGTTATGCTGCTGAGTGGGATATCATTTCCAGCCTGAAGTTTTTAAATACGTGTGACTTATTTCAATCTTTATGAATATTCACTGGAGAAATTCATACAGTTTTGTGTCTCTGTATACCTCATAAACCAAATCAGCTCCTAATAATAAGTCATACAGTCATGAATAAGGGAAAAAATAATTTTTTCTCTTACATGGGAGGGCTACAGAAATCAGCAGGGCATACACATGAAATAGCACTGCAGCATCTCCGAAATGTTTTTAGCACTTTCCCGAGTGAAACACAAATTAAACTAAACAGTTACACCTTCCCTTACAGCGTGGTACTCACAAACTTACTGAGTATAGTGAAGTCGGGACTAAAGAATAATAGAAACTTTGATCATGTTTTTACTACTCTACCTAAGCTGTTTGCAGCTTGGAATAATAAAAGCAACAAAACTTTGTTCCAATCAAGGTTATTTAACCATCTAATGTCTAAGCATCTATCAGGTTATCTTCTAGCCACTTACTGTAAGCTCTTTATCTTTCTTTTCTCTATTCAAAATGGCTACTTTTATATAACTATGAATTTAACATGAATTTAATTAAGATATAAAGAAAATCTGATTTTTCAGTCTAATAAGCTTAATAATTTCAATATTAGAGAAACACTTCTAGGGGTGCACAATTTCAGGAATTTGTAAAAATAAGGAAAGTAATCAATATTTTTGTTATTTTTTCATATGAAAGAAAAGCAAATAAAAAAGCAGTTGGGATAATCAAGTATCTTCTTTAAAAATGAATTTTTTTCCCTACAGAACCCAAACTTTATACCAAGTGGTTCTTAAAATTCCAATACAAAATTTAAAAATCAAGCAAGTTTTTTTAAAATAAATACTTGGCCATACATTCATTCCCTAGAAAACATTTATTCTGCATCTGTTTTGGGTCCAGACTGCTTTAGACTCCAGGACACAAAGGGGATGGAAACAGAATAGTATGTCTCTGTCCTCAAGAAATATGCAGCTTAAACTTTTTTTTTTTTTTTTTTTTTTTTTTTTTTGGTCTTTTTCGTTTTTATCGGTACCAGGGCAGCTTAGAATTTTTAAAAATCACTGAGATATATTACTGTAGTCAGTGAAAAGGCAAATCAAATAAGCACCATAACTAGTTGGAGAGTGAATCTAAAAGTGCTTTGGGAATTGTCTGGATTGACCCTTAATCAAGACATTCTTATCCAGTACAGTGTCTGATAAACCCACAGTCATGGCACAAAACAACAATATCTAGGAAATAGGTGCAGGAATTAGATCACAACCGGGCCACAAAACCCTGCTCCAATGAATATGCGTAAGTCTATCCAGGCAGTAAACCTCTAACATCACATCCTGCCTCCAAGCAAGGCAATGTCAAATGCTAGTTTTTCTGTTAGCTAATTAAAAGAAGGCAAGAGAGAGACCACAAGAATCCTACATAGTGAGAGTGCTGAAAAAATCTGTCACGGAGGAAACTCAAGCAAATACTTCCCTTTCGTTTTCAACCAAGATTAACTGTGAAAAGAATTTTAGTCTTTCAAATTTTATCCACTGACTTTGTATGGCAGGTGTCACTTATAACTGAACGAATGTCACAATTCTGTTTGTTTGTTTTTGTCCTAAATTTGACCCTGACTCCTATAAAGCAAAGTTACAGCACTTGTATTTTTTTCCCATATGTATCAAATTCTACAACGGTAAGACCGTTGCAAATATCCTCCTAATTTTCTATTTACCTGCTCTTTTTATCAGATTTATTTAAAACAAAGTAAAATGGCAAGAACACAATGAATATGCTCTCAAGGTTGAAAACCCTCCTTATTTTAATTTTTCTCATAGACTTGAAGGCTTTTTTTCTTTTGTCTTTTTCCTTTTCATTGGTACCAGGGATCGAACCCACGACTGCCTGCTTGCAAGGCAGGCGCTTATGACGCTGAGCTAAATCCCCAGCCCTTGAAGGCTTAATTCTGTTTTTAAAAAGTATAATTGTGATCTGATAACATGCATGGGATAATTTTAATTCTTTTGTATTTATTTAAGCACAATTTATGGGCTAATATGTGGTCTATTTTGGAAAATGCTTCCTCTGCCACTGAGAAGAATGTATATTGTCTTGTTGAGCGGAACAATGTACCTTTTATAGTCCATTTTTTCAAAGGTGTGGTTTAACTCTGATAGTTGTTGATTTTTTTGTTACCCGATCTTTTTGTGACTGCTGACATGGAGGTCCCACACTATAATCGTGCTGACTTTTCAGGTCCAGCAGTATTTGTTGTAGGAAGGTGTGTATGCCTGGGTTCGGTGCATGTGCATTTGTAATTGTTACTGCCTGTGGAGTTGTTCCCTTAGCCAATTATGTAGTGACTGTCCTTGCCTCTTCTCATTAGTTTTGGGTTGAAGTCTACTTTGTTTGTAAACAGGAAAGCTATTCCTACTTGTCTTTGGGCTCTTGCTGCATGATATGTTTTTCATCCTGAATTTTTTTACTCTATGAATTTCTATGAATTTGTGATGTTGGGTTTTGTTTTTCGACCCAATCTGTCTTTTGATGGAGGAGCAAGAATCACTCACATTGAGAGGTATAATTAAAAGATACTGACTTGTTCCCATCATTGTATTAATTCCTGTTGTTGATTCCTTTTTGTTTAACTGATGTATTCATTCCACTAGACTTTCTGACATTGCTTGGCTACATTATTTCTCTCTAGGATATTTTTTTGAGAATTTTTTGGAGAGCCAGTTTTGTTGCCATGAATTTCCTTTGGATATTTTTGTCATGGAAAGACCTTATTTCTCCATCAATTTTGAAAGACAGTTTTGTAGGATGTATTAGTCTGGGTTGGAAGTTGTTTTCTTCTAGGGCCTGAAATACTTCACTCCAAGTTCTTCTGATCTTTCAGGTTTCTGCTGAGACCTCTGCTGTAATTTTAATGGAATTATCTTTGTAACTAATTTGTTGCTCTTCTATAACAGCTTTTAAGATTCTGTCCCTGCAGTGGACTTCTGTGTCCATAAGAAGTTCTTTTCTACTTGAGGTCATTTGAGTGTCTACATGCTTTGCTTACTTGTATGTTAATTTTTTCCTCATATGTTGATAGTTTCTGCTATTATTTCTATAAGCAAGATTTTTATGACATTTATGCCATAAAATTTTCACTAACGTCAATTAATCTTTTTTTTAAATTTTTATTTTGAAAGTATACAACAGAACAAGTCAGAATAAAGCCAACTAAGATCGTACACTGAAATTGGTACAGAACTTCACAGCAGGTTATCGGGATAACAGTAATAGGTATCACAGTATATTTTGTTATCTTTATAATAGTTGTTCTTTCAATCCCGTATATCAAAATGAGAGGAAATATGTAACACTATAGAACTTATCAAAACAGAATATTGAATAGAGCAGTACCATTAATCAGAAAAGAGCAAAACAGTAATAAAAATATTTGCCTTCAAAGAAATGGTAGAAAGAAGTCCTCCTTATTTGCTTTGGTCAACCTCCCAGGAGATGCTCAAATTTCTGGTTCCCATTTGCTAATGGGCAGTGGGTGGGGGGAAGGAGGATAGGGGAAGTGGGATATTTGACTTTGGCCATGTAGCAGTAGGTTCACTATTGCTAAGCAGGGAAGCAGAATGGTCATTTGTTTTCACAGCATCCTCAGTTCCAACATGGTGTGGATCTCAGGAGACACTGCTAGTTCTCCCCCTGAAAGGGCTGCAGTTAATCTTAAATTAGTCTTTTTTGTACCATCTAGTAATGGCTGGATTCATTTGCCATAATGTGTTGTTTTTTAGGATATTTCTGAATAAACAGTCATGTACATCAGTTCCAGGTTCTAATTCTGCACTATCTCCTCACAGTGGTCACTTCTGATGCCCATATTTTTACTGTAACTTTTTATCTGCTGGATTGCTTTATGGCACCTTTACATGACCTTTACTTCTTTGCTCAACTGTTCATTTATGTTTTTCTTTTATCATTTGTTTAGTTCAACTAGCTTTTTATTAGTGTCTTCTTCAAGTTCATTGATCGCTGCACAATGAAATTAGAAATTGATGGCCAAAAGAAATCACAGAAAGTATGTAAACATATGGAGATTAATCAATATACTCTTGGGCCAGGGAGCACAGTGGCATCATGCCTGCCTGGCAAGCACGAGGTCCTGAGTTCAATTCTTGCTACTATAAAATAAAATA